TTAGAACCTTCACGTATAGGATTCTTATCTTCATCCAATATCTCAACCCACCTATCCACTTCTTCCCCTTCCAAGAGCTCATGAACTGGTATATAAGCTCTTCCGATTAAAGTTGCACCAATAGGATTATCGTCTTTAACAGTAAATATCACATTTGAAGCCATATGAGCACAGTAAATGTGAAAAGACTCGTACCACCTGGGGTTATTAGGTTCATTTTCAATCATTCTAGTTCTCCCAACTCTTGCCTTTTCTAAATCAATAGTTGCATAAATTTTAGGAGTCCCTTTACCAAAACCAACAGTCTCTTCGACGTTCTCCATCATCTACAAAAATATTCCACCAATGAAAAGTATCATCAGAGGCAAATAAAATACTTCAATACACAAATCAGGAATATAGCAAACGAGTCTTTGAAATCACGTTTAAAAACTTATTTAACTTACAACTTTAATCAACAATGATCCTAAAATTATATATGATAAATGACAGGATAAATTGGATCCAACAAATTGATGCATTTTTAAAATATTTCACTGCACAGAAAACAGAGGCATAACAGCAACTATCATCAAGCAGAAGATTGAAAGGAGCATTCAGAGAATAATCCACTTCCATAAGTAGGCTTTACTGCCGCAAAAAAGATATGAAGGAAAACATGGTGATTGAAGTCCTAATGAACCTAACATTTGGACATTCCCGTGCCACCAAGCTGTGGTTTTTTACATATTACTTTGTACAGAGACCAATATGTCAGTATATAATGAATTTCAGTTGTAGAAGATGAATGTACACCAACTCAAAAATGTTAGACAAGATACTACAGAATAAAAGACACCTAGTTATTGTATAATTCCTACTATCTACATGGTGATTAAATGCAAAGCTCAAACTTTTCTTCAAGACCTCCAAACACTTCATTTAAGGACTAATTTACATGGTTAGTGCCACAAATGTCAGCATTTATAATGAAATTCAATTTGGGGAAAACAGTGTAACACCCCGAAAATT